TGCAATACCCGTTGATGACGATTCCGTGTTTCTCAAGTTCTGACCCTTCAAATTCAAATATCTACCCTAACGAAATTTCTATTTTTATAATAACACGAAGCATTATTTGCCTTCGTCGTTTGGAAACAACCATAATCGGACATGTGAACATTTATGAACTTCTTTTGCGGAATGTGGAAGCATATTTCGTTGGCATGGTTTCACATGTTATTCATGAAAGTTTTCTGTATTTCACAGAAAGGTATGATTTCAATCAGTGTAATATTGAAATACAGGGTAACTCACGGTCGATGGTACGTTAGACGTTTATGGAGAACGGGACATAGGATCATTCTGAAATTTTGGTTACTAACGTAGTTGCTCTTGGTCTATCGATCTAAAATATTTTCAGCTCTGCGGCGTTTCCGCTTCTATCGAAAAGTAGCAACAACTTTGTTATTTTAAATGGAACACCTTGTATTTTATTGCGTTTTCAGATTTTCTCTGAAGAGCTGATTTAATCGATGTATCACACTTGGGGTCTAGCGGTAATGATTACAGAGATATAGGGTGTGAAAAATCGTCATTTTTCAACTTAAGTAATTTTTTTTGTCGAAACTATTCATTATTGGTCAAAACGGCTTACATGTCCCTATCTCAACTTTTTATTAACTATCTACTGATATTTAATTGGGACATATACCGGGTGATCAACATTCTGAATTCTGCACGACCCTGTATTTGTTTCAATTAAATGTCAGTAGATAGTTGATCAAAAGTTGAGATAGGGACATGTGAGCCGTTTTGACCAATAATGAATAGTTTCGACAAAAAAAAATCCTAAAGTTGAAAAATGTCGATTTTTCACACCCTATATCTCTGTAATCATTTCCGCTAGACCACCAAGTGTGATACATCGATGAAATCAGCCTTCCCTAGAGAATCTGAAAATGCAATAAAATACAGGGTGTTCCATTCAAAATAACAAAGTTGTTGCTACTTTTCGATAGAAGCGGCAACGCTGCAGAGCTGAAAATCGATAGACCAAGAGCAACTACGTGAGCAACCAAAATTTCAGAATGATCCTATGTCCCGTTCTCCATAAACGTCTAACGTACCATCGACCGTGAGTTACCCTGTATATTCTCTCAACTTCTAGATTGAATTCAGTTGCATTTTATTCCCAGAAGTGAAGTTACAGAAGGTATTTAAAAATAATAAATCCTTACTCAAAAGCAAAGCACATAATATGTTCAATTTTTTTACTATCAGAGGTAGAACAATTATTCGCACAAACATCCAGCTTTGAGGACTTTTTCTGTTTAATATAAACACATAACCACTCCGTGTCATATTCTCTCCATTTATTTTGCAATATTCATTTCACTACTGAATGGGAACGAAATTCAAACTAACGTAACCTCAAATTGGGGCATTTGTATATGAAGTCTCCGCATGTTTTTCTCCGAGTTTCCTTGGCATAGAGTATGCTTTGACTCTGAGGACCCTTCACAGTGTGCTGCGGAAATATCCGAGATCATCATGCTCGGAATGGACACATACATACCCCATTCTTCAAAAAGATCATCACCATCGAAACCCTGGTTCAACAAGAATTGTTCTAGAACTGTTGCCTTGAAACAAACAGCCTACCATCGCTGGCGCAAAAACCCTAACCTCGCGACTAGAGCTGAATACGTTGATGCCAGAAATAACTGCAGCCAAACAATAGATGCTTCGAAAGAAACATACAATGCCAAGATAAGATCGAAACTCATAGATTGTCCCCATGGCTCCCGTTCGTTTTGGTCCCTTCCTAAAGCAGTCGGAAGAAATTTCACTAATAGTTCATTTCCACCACTGTCCAAATCCGACGGAACATTAGCAACAACATCGCAGGAGAAAGCAAATATTTTTGCAGAGATTTTCGCAGCAAACTCTACTTTAGATTCCCAAGGAAAAGTGCCGCCAGACATTCCACCCGTTGAGAGTCGAATGCCCGAAATCGTCTTCCGTCAACGCACTATCAGACGAATTTTGCTTGGTCTCAAAACGAATAAGGCTAACGGTCCTGATGGAATTCCACCCATTATCCTCAAAAAATGTGCACCAGAATCAACACCGATTCTCTGCAAGTTGTTTACCGTCTCGTACAGGTCGGGTATTTATCCATCATGCTGGAAGACAGCTAGAGTCCAACCAATCCCCAAAAAAGGGAACAAGAACCTGCCCAACAACTACAGGCCCATTGCTCTGTTATCAGTAATCTCCAAAGTTATGGAGAAAGCCATCAACATTGAGCTCATCGAATATCTGGAGAGCTCGGGAATCATCAATGATAGACAATACGGCTTTCGCCACCGAAGATCTACTGGAGATCTACTTGCCTACGTCACCCATTTATGGCAAGCTTCATTAGAAAAACACGGGGAATCTCTAGCTGTCGCTTTGGACATATCGAAAGCATTTGACCGTGTTTGGCACGAAGGACTCCTCCACAAACTTCCATCATACGGCTTACCACCTCAGCTATGCCATCTCTTATCGAGTTTTCTTTCAGGCAGATCGCTTCATGTGGTGGTGGACGGTGTATCGTCTGATACAATTGGCATCAATTCCGGCGTTCCACAAGGATCAATTTTGGCACCAACATTATTCCTTCTTCATATCAATGATCTGTTGGGAGTAACAACTTGCCCCATCCACAGCTTTGCAGATGATAGTACCCTCCATACAGCGTTCTCTTCCAGAAATCCTATTTCTTCCCAGGAAACTAAGAACACACGGCGCAGGCAGGTCAATGCTGTCAATGAAGACCTTGCTGAAATCACAGCCTGGGGAACCAACAACCTAGTTGAATTCAACGCCACCAAAACTCATGCCTGTATTTTCTCTAGAAAGGCGGAACTCAGTATGCCCGACATTGTAATGTCTGGCACCACCATCCCTACCAAGCCCACCATGTCTATGCTCGGTATTTCCATCAGCAACACTCTTTCATGGGATAATCATGTCAGATCCATCGCAAAAGCTGCTTCACAAAAACTCGGATTCTTGTTCCGTGCGAAATGCTACTTTACACCTCAACAGCTCCTCATGATCTACAAAGCGCAGATACGGCCTGTTCTAGAATACTGTTCCCACATATGGGGTTCAGCACCGAAACATACGCTGATGCTCTTAGATTCCATCCAGAGAAGAGCCATCCGCCTGGTGGGTGACGCCACACTCACTCGCTCTTTGACATCATTGGAACACCGTAGAAAGGTCGGCGACCTTTCACTTTTCTATCGATACTTCCACGGGAAATGTTCTTCGGAAATCTCTGCTATCATCCCTTCACTAGCAATACCAGTCAGACGAACTAGACAAGCCCAGTCAGCACATCCCTTCGTTGTCAACCTCGAAAGATGCCGAACAGCACTTTATCAGAACTCCTTCATCCATAGAACGGCTGGGCTCTGGAATTCATTGCCTGAGGAAGTATTCCCAACAACATATAATCTCCAGAAGTTCAAATAAAATTCCAATACCTACCTCCTATCCCTATCCTCCCTAGGAACGCACGATGTTCTTTGAACATTATAGGGATTCCCTCTCGTGCGCTCCAAGCGATAAAAAAAAAAAAAGTAGTGAAACACACTTTATTGAACGAATATCTGCTGAAAAGCTTCCTCGATTCACAAGAGAACACAAATAAAGTATCAAAAGTTTTCTTTGTTCAAATCACTACCAAAAAATCTAAATAATACACACAAGCATAATATGAACCATTTCAAAACAATGTACACTGATATAGTTCACAACCGGCCGCTGTGGCGCTGCGATCTTGAATTCAGTCGCCTATACTTCATAAAAAGGTCCAAAATTCAATCGACAACATCATCATAAAAATGATCTCGGATGTCAATCAAATGTGCTGTCTAAAATCCGTAAGGAAAATTTGCATCGATTCAAATATTCAACAGTTGATATGATTGTGCGCACGAAATTTTTCATTTGGATAAATCCACTCCTCCATAGAAAAAACTATTTGATCGCAGCGCCACAGCGGCTGGTTATGAACTATATCAGTGTATTTTGTTTTGAAATGGTGTGTGTATTATTTGGATTTTTTGGTAGTGATTTGAGCAAAGAAAACTTCACTTTTGATAGTTTATTTGTGTACTCTTGTGAATCGAGGGAGCTTTTCAGCAGATATAAGTTCAATAAAGTTTGTTTCACTACTTCAGATACAAATGCCTATGTTTGTTAGGTATTGTTCATGAGAAAATTCGCAAGATTAGCCGTTTTGAGGAAACGGAAGAAATCACAAGAAATAAAAAAATCAAATTACAGGAATCACGAAATTGTCGATTATAGTTATTTCTTATACAAGGGAGAAAAGTAATAGATTTTAGCTCGAGGTTGTATTGTCTTTTGACGCGTATCGTAGCGTATTGAGAAGATATTGCATTATAAATAGGTATAATCAGAAAAATATCGACGTGACCTTCAAAGTCTTCAACAGGAACTGCACCTGCGTTGCAGGCATCTTTATCACTCTTTTATAGTAATAATCAAATATATGTCAGTCTGATTCAGTGATTTGATATTAGAGAATTGCGAACTTACCGTGAGAAAAAAAGTTATTTATGAAAAGTGACATTTTATCACCTGAAATGTCAAACTTTCTTCACCTCACAAAAAAATGTTACTATTATAGTTGTTAATAATTCATCAACCTGTAACTTTTCTGTTCTTAGTAAGCAGACAATATCAATATGATAACTAGAATAAGCTTCCAATCGCAGTGAAAGACATTTGAATCGTTTCGAATATATGGAGTGCAGAACTGTTCAAAATCAAACGACATTTTCATGTGTCGTGTCGTTTTCATTTCTGACTGCTTCAGTTAGGCAGAGGCATAAAAAAGGAACAAAATGAAAAAGATAAATTTTGGAAATCGTGGAATCTGTTCGTAAACTTTCTTACAAAATTATTTTCCTCAATCTGTTTCGTTTTTGGTGCCTCAACCTGTATTAACATACACCTTTATCAATCCCTACCGTGCAGGCATCTATCATGCTGACTCCTCCTGCGCATATCTCTCCCGCAGGATCGAGATAGCGGTCAACATTGTTGGCCAACAGGTTGGCCTGGCTGAAGGAAGTTCTGCAGGTATTGTAGTCGGTGATGGCTACGAAAACTTGCCTCTGGGGGTTCGTTGGGGCGTCAAGGACTGTGAAACTCGATTGACCCCATCCTGATACCGCACACCTGAAAACATCAAGAATATTCTTCTATACAAACGTCAAAAATTGACAAGGTTCGCGCATTGATAACAAATTGCGAAGTGACACTTTTTTTTTCAGTTTCCTATATTTGGAGTGCAGCACCCAAACATACCCTGAAACTGTTGGATTCTGTTCAAAAAAGGGCAATTCGTCTCGTGGGTGATGCCTCGCTCACAAACTCACTCATTTCTCTGGAACACCGTAGAAAAGTTGGCGATCTGGCTCTATTTTATAAATATTTTCATGGACGATGCTCTTCTGGAATATCAACAATTGTTCCTCCCTTGGCAGTCTCCGCGAGATTAACCCGTCGAGTTGAGGCTTCGCACCCCTTCGTAGATACTTTGGAGACCTGCATGTCTTTCCAAAGACTCGAACAGCGGGGTTCTGGAATACATTGCCAAGGGAGGTGTTTCCCGAGGCATATAACCTCCAGAAATTCAAGAAGAACACCAATTCCTACTTCATTTCCCTTGGTTCTCTCGATGTTCTCTGAACATTACAGGATATCCCTTTTCGTAGGAACCAGAACATAAAAAAACACGACACAGTACATATACATACTTGCGCATTGTATGTGCTCTATATGAGATTTTTATATTTTAATTTTATGATCCTCAATGGAGCAAACATCCAAGAAATCATTCATTTCTAAATGTTTAACAATATTTTTTTATCTCTCGGACCGCACAAACGGAAATTTTCAAAATATAATGTTCGTGGAACATCGTGCGTACTTAGGGAGGATAGGGAGAGGCCCAAAGACAGTTCAACACTATTTTTTATGTTAAGCTGAGCATATTATTTCATCAGAACTATATTTTTTGACGTTTGTAAAGAAAATTTTGTTTGCAACTCGTGCGCCAAATACTTTTGGTCATCTTGAGAATTGTATTAATTTATTTTATTTATTTTATTTATAAATAGCTATTTTTGTTTCTAGAGCGCGAAATGCTACTTTGGTGATCGAGATCTGACGTTTGTTGAAAATGACTTTTTTATATTAATAATGAAGATGATGGAAAGCCCTAATTTCGAGTGACGAAGGAAAATGAGAGTCGAACTCACAACCTCCGGGTTACATGCCCGCTTTAATATTCTCAAATTTACGTTACGTTTCTACTGACTGAAAGTATAAAAATAATACTCATATTAAAATTGGAACTTAATAATTCAGCAAGGGTCTTACCTCGGATTCAACACATCCGAACTGAAAAATAAGTGCTAATCGAGACTAATTATTCTCAAAGTAGAAATAAAGAAATACAAATTGGGACCAATCAATTTCAAATTGACACTAAGAAATATGTACGTGATTGAACATTATTCAGACTGAGAATGAAATCATTCAAATCGAAATTATTAAATATGAATTTGTATAGGTTCTTTCAGTAATGACTGCATCATAAATATATACAGGGTGTCTCAAAACTGAACGTCAAACTTTGTAGGGCTGATAGTCCAGCTCATGACTAAACACAAAATATCTTAAAATAGCCTCAGTAAATCATTGATAGTTCTGGAGATATTGGCACTTTTATGAATTTCATGAAAATCGAAACCTTTGATCAGTATTTCGTGTGCCTCAGGTAAAAAACTTCATAGTTTAAAATTCCTATGTTTGTTATGCAACCTGTAATAAACCTTCTATTGATCACAATCCAAAATAAGAAAATTGGTGCAATACCTTTGGAGAAAAAAAACATGTTTGCTCGATTAATCCAACCCAGCTACATTCTTCCAGAGAATAACTATTGCTGAAGAATCTGAACAAGAGTCATTGTTTGTTTGACGAAGGTGTGAAAAGGAACGTTATCAAGTGTAGCAGAAGTGTTTCCACTTTGTGCAAGGCACTACAGTAGCTGGGAAAATAATACATGTGATTGATGGAGGCTGAATTGATGGAAACTGAACAAGACACGAACTATCCTCAACAAGCAGAAGAGAAATCTGAAAGACTTATTGTTACCACACAATACACAATCATCGTCATCTGAGCACAATACACAGGCTGTTGTAGGGAAGGATTTTCGACGTGGTTTTATCTAAACTCAGCATTGAATGAAGTACTGTTTCAACACATCTGCTTTTTGCACACTTTTAGTGGATGTGATGCCTTGTTCAACCAAAAGGAATGGCGAAAACTCTGAAAACTCCTGACAAAAACCCCGACTTCCTATTCCACCTAATTCTTGTTTTTTCATGATACACATAATACCATTTTTCATATATTATACTCCCCAAATGATTGTGACTTCAAAATCTGTCCATTATATTTTTCGCGTACACGTATAGATTTTTATACATTTATATAAAATTTGTGAATTCATGGCTGTCATATATTATATATATGTATAAATGTCTGTGAATACTTCATTACAATTTATTTATTTTTAACATTTCTATTAATATTTTTATCCCACGCACAGGTTCATCCTTCTGTGGGATTTCTATATTTATTTATCAAAATTTATCAAAATGTATAAGTATTTTAATGTAATTATTGTGATTTATGGTAAATAAATATTATTATTATTATTATTATTATTATACGTCAATACTCACTGTTGGTGGTCATATATAGACTATATTATACTCATGTATTTTTTCAGAACTACTTCATTACGCTATACGAATAACCACATAATCCTTACGTTTGTCCGACATAAGACGTTCCCATCGGTGCTAAGCAAGCAGTGTTTATGTTTGCGTATATTCCCAGTACTATCGGTTGAGTCAGAGTCAGTATAGCAATGTCGTTTCTGAGGGTGCTTGCGTCGAATGACTCGTGTACTTCTATTCTGGCCACCGTACTGCTCTGGATGTTGACAAGATTGGCAGGGTTCCATACTCCCATTAAAACTGTTACAGCTGAAGGAGCAGGCCTAAAATTCAAAAGATATCAATTGTTTAGTTTTCGCCACTTTCCTATCAGTATTTATTATCATATTTTTCGCGAAATTCATGTCATTTTATTCTAATTCGTTCGTTCCATATTTCCGGCAAATACATGCAGCATACCGACCTAAAACGAGATATGATATACTAAAATTATAGTGCTAACCTGTGGTTGAAATAATAGGTCCTTTATCCTCATTCATTGCTCAATGACTTTCATTCATTTCTAGGATTTCAAATGTATCTGATTTTGTAACATTATCGAGTGATTTGATTCACTCATTCAGGTTCTTGATGCATGTGTCCTGATTGTAGGTGAGCATTTAAGTATGTCTTCCTAAAATGTTGATTCATCTATTCTTCCATCATACTCTGAACGTGCAATTGTGCACAGTATATCCTTCAGCGCATCGCGCTTCTGGATATGAAAGTTCTTGTTATATGATAGCTTACTTCTCACCCTAGGGGTATAATAAACTATTGTCCTTTTACAATTCTCCAATTTCAATTTGAATATCGTGGAATATCGATGTATAGTCTTGTATGCAAGGTAATGCAGGTTGTGAGGTACAAAGTGAAATGGGTGATTGAGCCGATCTCGGTCAGTAGCGGATCTACAGTCTACAGAGAGTCAAAGTTCAATTATTTTTTCTAATAATTAAAATATCTCGCTCACATTTGAAGATATCAATTTGAAATTTGGAGTGGGTAATCCTTTCTAGAAATTCGTTATTATAAGCATCTTGAAGATTTCAAAAATCTACAGGATGATACGGTTTTGGGGGTATAGGCTTATTCTTTATCCCCCTCAAACTGTTTCGTATTACACCTCTGACATTTTTCAGTTACCAAACAGGGTGCGTCGTTCAATGAAGAGGCATTTTTGCCCTTCTTTTCTTTCCGAGAAACGAACCCTTTTCGAGATAAATAAGCATATCCGTTCGAAAACATGTTAATTTTTTCTTTATTTTTCCTTAAATTTTATTCTTGGACGAAATTAGTTAAAAATTATGGAATACGCAAAATTAATGATCACATTCCGCGGGAAGACTCTTCGACAAGTTGAATGTCATATATTATTTTTCATTTTCTTCAAATAATATTGAATGAGATATATTGATACAAATGGATGGGGCCTAACACGGATTTTCCGCGTCGTCGTTGTATTGGTCGGTGAAGAGTAACCTGACTCTCTACCCTCTATATCTCCGCCACAGATTCAGATTGGACACATCCTCAAATTTCATTGCATTAAGCGAATCAACATGTTATAGCACGGATATGCTAATCCATTTCGACTACGGTGCTTTTCTCGAAAAAAAAATGATATGCAGAAAGTCTTCAAATTGAATGATCCACCCTATTTGGTAACTGAAAGATGTCACAGGCGCAGTACAAAAAAGTTTGGGGAAAATAAATAACCTCTCAATCCCAAGAACGTATCACCTTGTGGATTTTAAAAATCTTTGGAATTCTTCAATTGATGATATTCTAGAAGGTATATTGACCACACCATATTTCAAATTGATATCTTCAGAGGTGAGCAACATATTTCAATTTATTGAAAATAGAACTTTGACCCCCTGTATCTCCGCAACTGATCAATATCGGACACATATTATACACACCTTTGCAATTGATATGTTGAGACCTACCACCCATTTCAGTTGGTGCCTTAAAACCTAAATCACCCTGTTTAATTACGAATTTGTTTATTTACTATTCCCATATCATTATCATTCCCGCTGGCCACTTCATAAACCACACCTGAATATATAAATAATATAAAAGTGAAATATGAAACTATCATGGACATTCCGCGTTTGTGTTTATTTTAGTTGAGAATAGCTAAAAATCATTAAAATACCTCATATACATATTCGCTACTATTTTGTTCTCATGTGAAAGAGGATTCCTGACATTTCATGAAATTTACTGTGGTAACCTAAATCTGATGTCAGGAACTGTGGTTTTCACGTCCATGCGATTAGAATGAATTAGGATATGTGATACTGATTCATTGAAATCAACTCACAGAATTATGATCTATTGTCAACATTAATTCACGTCAAGTGACGGTAGAGGTCGTATAAAAAATTTGATTAATCACAATTAGTTATTCACACGTTGGCAATCGAGTTGGCAATACAATTATGATTTATTTAAAATGTCACACATTTACAGAGAACTGAGGAGAAGTGTTGCCAAGGATCACCTTTCATACTAGTAGCGGTGTATAGTAGTTATAGAAATATTTCGAAAATTGTTTCTCTAAACAGGTCAATTCATATGATCATGATCACCTTATGTAAGGAGTATTAATGAAGCAGGTGCCAGAGTTATGGGAGCTATGAAGTTAGGCATCATTACTAAGAATATTAGTGAATATGCAGCTAGTGCCACAGAAATGACAGAAATTCTGATAATTCCAGGTCTATTCCTTTTTAGAAGAGTCCCAATGTTGTCAAAGACATCTATAACTTTCGCGCATTGTTTCTCCTCAAGTCCTTAGAATATTTTAATTCCAATCATGGCCACCTAGATGTAATATTGGAAAGTGACTCTGGTAAAATTACGTAGTCGTGAAAACTTCTGAATATCCCTGCATATTCTCGGGAATCCCTTCAGGAATTCAAAACCGGAATCATTTCCGGTGAAACCGGCGGTGACCGGAAAGTAAAAAATAAGCGAAAAAACTTCTCATCACATATGTAGGCACCATTTGATACTTATATCAAATCTCATTTTGCTACACCTGATATTCTAGAAGGTATGACTTCCCAGGGAGCACAATGACTTGGGAAGTTTAAAGTACAAAAGATGTCGAGAAATTGAACCTCCACTGCGATGTTCTGTTCACCCATCAATAAAACTTTCATAAAACAGCCGTTTGGTATGTCACAAAAATAATTTTTTTTTTTTTCTAAAGCTATTTCATGGACACAACACAACCTTTCCAATGCTTTTTGCGCATATTTAATCACTGCAAATAAACCATCCGTGGTAGGCATACAGGGTATCCGCAAAATGGAGGTCAATCCATTAACCATATATTCCTTGAACAAAAATAATATGAGTTTCTGAATTCAATTTTTCATTTTAGCCCTTCTTATTCGATATACAGGGTGTCAAAGTTGAAAATTAAAAACTGTTAATTACTCGCGTGATTAATAAGATATTAATCTCAAAATAGGTACATTACTTCAGCACAAAGAGTTACATCGTGTGAGGAAAACAAAACAGAAAATAACTGTCAAATATTCAAAATACTGGGGGTCAAGTACACACTTACCCCCATATTTTTTTTGTACGTGCGCTAATGACTTCCTATCTATTTTTCTTCATGTGTTCAATCATTTTTGAGTATTTTTTGATTTTTGTAAAATTCCGATAAAATTATTTGTTTTTAAGATAATTCGAAAAGTACTGGTTATTGTTTGATGCCTTGCGGCTTACGGTAATCTCATAATGTTCACATACTCCTATTTATTTCGTCGAAATTGGAAGAGGGCGTATCTTATTACGTACGGAAAGGTGAATATGGAAATACCGGGTGCTCAGAGCGATTGTATTAAAATAATTTTTACACTTTTTAATTTTTTTTTTTTTGTAAAAATTATTTTAGTACCTACATTTGCTCCGAGCACCCGGTATTTCCATATTTACCTTTTCGTACGTAAAAAGATACGCCCTCTTTCAATTTCGACGAAATAAATAGGAGTATGTGAACATTATGAGATTACCTAAGCCGCATAGGCATCAAACAATAACCAGTACTTTTCGAATTATCTTAAAAACAAATGATTCAATCGAAATTTCACTGGAAACAAAAAATACTCAAAAATGATTGAACACTTGAAGGAAAATAGATAGGAAGTCATTAGCGCACGTACAAACAAAATATGGGGGTAAGTGTGAACTTGACCCCCAGTATCTTGAATATTTGACAGTTATTTTCTGTTTTGTTTTCCTCACACGATGTAACTCTTTGTGCTGAAGTAATGTACCAATTTTGAGATTAATATCTTATCAAATACACGAGTAATAGAACAGTTTTTAATTTCCAACTTTGACACCCTGTATACCGAATATGAAGGGCTAAAATGAAAAATGATATTTAGAAACTCATATTGTTTTTGTTCAAGGAATATGTGGTTAATGGATTGACCTCCTTTTAGCGGACACCCTGTATAATAGAAAAAAGATGAAAATTAAAAAAGAGCTTTCTTTCTCCGCTGGGGAATGAAACCTACTCTCTTGTGATTGAATTTTTACTATCCTAGAAATATGTAAACATGCACTTCTTTATAGTATTATAGGATAAGTTGCTTTGAGGCTAGAGAATAATAGGGTGAGTTAGGGGTAAAACATTATGAATATTGCGACACAAGAATAACATCCATATCATATTTTGATACGATTCTGTATATTCTCAATATTCTGATGAGAATATGTCAAATTATATGTTCATGGAATATTTTGTTGCCAGGATAAAAAAAACATTCTATCAGAATATTCTGAAATAAGTTTGAACGTTCTGAACGTTGTCAGAATATTTTACGACTATTGGTTTAGGATATTATTACGGATTATGGACGACACGTCTGGTAATTTTTAATGATAATATTATTGTAACGTATAGGCTTCACAAATTGTGTATCAACCTTCAGCCTGAAGTGTTGTCGCATGTCAATTGTCTTGTCCTATGACAAGCATCAACAACTGACGATCCCCATGCTTGAGCTCGAATTACGGACACCCTGTATATGTATGAAGAAAGCACTATCACTGTTGAATACCCATTACCCAACTTTAGTAAAATTCAATAAAGGCTGCGACACAATTGAAGTTTTATGTTACTAGTGTTGAGTTATATAATTTAGGATATAAGTATTTTAAAATGAATACACAGGTCCCTGTAGCAAACAACTGAATACAAAATGAATTAGGAAATAAGTTCCATTTTTGAAGATAAGGACGTGGTTTTTATGATTTAAAATTCAGAAAGTCAACCAATCACAGCAATTCTTGGTGTCGTAAAAAATGCGTTTATTATTATTATTATTATATCTCTTTGAACTTCGACTTACACATTCCTGTAGACTTTGTGGGCGGCGGTGAGCACGTGAAAGGAGTCTATCAGGACGCCGCTGCCCGCGTACGTATTGGTGGTGTTCCTGAGGTACGCCTGCCAGGGGTATGTGCCAAATGTAGCGGGTCCGGAGGCGGTGGAATTGGAAGCGAGAAAGCGTTGACCGCACGGCGTCGCTGCGCCGAAACAAGCGTTGAAGCCGGAAGGACACAGTTGGCCGGTCTGCAATGGTTAATTATCCACCAAGGTTGTGAAGAATATCATTATTACCCTCAAGATGAAGTATGAAATCAAAATTTTGTGAGATCTCTTTTAACGCCTATGAATGTGACGTGACAGCAATGTCATGTCAGGGACGCCAATACACGAAACCAAAGTCACTAGATGATAAAAAGAGAAAGGAGCTATGATCTGTCCGTACCCTGTTAGATGACAAATACGTCAGTTTGCATCAAGGGACCCTAGCACAAACCACACGTGTTTAGAATCATAATACGTGACCTCAAATTTTAGTCAAAGTTGTGGATACTTGTAACTTACATTTGTGTTGTTTTGAGTGTTTTGAGTATTTCGCAGTTGTGTTTTTTTAAAACATGGATAAAAACGTATTATGCTAAACACCCTGCTTAACCTTCCAGTAGTCGCGCCTTAAAAAGGACATAGTCTGTCGCTGCGGAGTCTGACTCCGCAATGGAGAATTTAGGTGGTTTGAACATGATGACTTGAATTTTTCAAAGATTTCATCAGTATGCCTTCGGACATGAATATCTCTACGAAGTAAAATGTCAAAATTGCAATAAAAATATATTCATTCAATAACAAGATTTGACAACTATAATTCGAACAAAAACACTATAACTTGAGGACAAACTGAAAATGTTTCAAACTCAAACCACTAAGGACTCATCGGCAATCTCTGCAAATGAATAAAGCGGGTTCTAATAAGCACATGAATTTTTCACATGTACTACAATAACTAAGACGTTTAAGGTCGCTGCGGAGTACGACTCCGCACTACGCTATGAAACTCAAAAACGAAGCAATTTTGCACATCGGTAATACTCGATTCGTACTGAAGTCGTCATTTTTGGAAGGTACTGAGTGCGGCGGAATCAGGGAATGAAGTATGTTCGAGAAAACTCGCTTTTTATATTCGTGCGGAGTAATACTGCGCGTGCGATTACTGGAAGGTTAAGAAGCTCGAGAAAAGCGATGAAACAGGTAGGTAGCTATGGTAATAATACAATTATTATCATTAGCTATAAACGCTTTGGTCAATGTTCCACCATTCTTATATTTTGAAAAACTTGCTATTAGTGAGTTGAAGTATAACAATCTGTTATCCATGTGCCAAATGTGGCGGGTCCGAAGGCGGTGGAATTAGAAGCGAGAAACCGTTGACCGCACTGCGTCGCTGCGCCGAAACAAGTGTTGAAGCCGGAAGGACACAGTTGGCCGGTCTGCAATGGTTAATTATTCACCAAGGTTGTGAAGAATATCATAATTACCCAGGGATCCCGATACCTACCTCCTCTCCCTATTCTTCCTAGGTGTACGCAAGATGTTATTCGAATATTATAGGGATTAAACGTGTGAAGAAGTCCATATTGCTTAAAGTGGAGTGGTATAGTGTTTGAAGGAAGAATAAATCTCAAAATCATCTCCACGACATTTGATAGGTGAACAAAGCCAAGGTTTATAACGTTCTACAATGGTCTTAACTTGTAACAGAAATATGCGTAATACATAAAGTTACTTTCATGAGGATAAAAAATGTTTTCTGAAGTTGTTGAAAAAGTTGCTGCATTCAACTGTTTGTTCCATAGGCTTTTCAAATAACCACTCAATAAAGAACATTTCAATTCGGAATCCAATATAATAAAGCAAATAGGACACAAAAATGGTTTCCCTCCACATCTCATCAACCGTGACTATGCAATAGACATCTTTCAAAATCAATCAACCACGGCTTACTACCCATTAACAATTCTAAAAACCGTTTCTCGTCTATTCCACATTCAGGTAAGGTTTCCCATGACATTGCCAACATATTCCACAGATTCATTAATGATATTGATATTTCCTCTTATACCACAGACACCACATCTAGAACTCTCGTCATCACTAGAGATAAAATCCCAATTGTACACAAATCATGAGTACCTATACAAAGTCACTTGTTCGGAACCCAATTGCAGTGCTCAATTTATCGGTGAAAGTGGCAGAAGAATGATTATTACTAGAGTAACTAAGCACAGAAAACTCCTTTGCTAATCATGTTCCCAATCAGCACCAGACATCTTAAAGACGTACATTTTACGACTTACTTACGTCTTTACGTCCAGGGACGTATAAAGTACGTCTTTAAGATGTAAATCCATGTACATCTTAAAGACGTACACGAATTTACGTCTTTGAGACGTACATTTTAGGTCGTATCCACGTCGTTCCTCCCATGTCGTATAAAAGACGTCTTAAAGACGTACATTCCAGTACGTCAATTCGACTTATAGAACAATAATGTAAGTTATTTTCTGAAGAAAAACAAAATGTCATCTCTTCACGTTTTTCATTTTCAATTGTTCAGTTTTTTCTTATTTTCAACAAAAGTGATGTTTTTGAATTTTTTCGTCCGACATTTTGGAGCCTTCGTGTTAGATTCTCGAATTTTTACAAAAAAATCATATTCTCCGACCCCAAACGTCCCATAGTAATCAATTTTGAATAAAATCGGACTATAATCACAAAACTCGTCCGCCATTTTGAAGCCGACATCTTGGATTCTTCATTTTCGACAAAAGGAATTATAATCTCTGATCCCGAAATCCTTCAGATGCCAATTTTGAATCAGATCAGACCATAATCAGAAAACCATATGCCACATTGGATTCACCATCTTGAATATTGTATTTTGATTCGAATCGGAACATAATCAATGAGAAAATCGTCCGCCATATTGGATCCGCCATTCTGTTTTTTCCATTCAATAATAATATCACAACGAATTGTCATCGGAATAATATTTACTTGCCAAATTTCAAATCAATCGGACGATTTAAAGTGAGTCAAATTCAACTTGCACGTTTTGATTACAAACAGACACGAGGACATGTTAAACTAAGTAAAAGCTTGTTATGTGATATATAGAACAAACAGAGTAACAGAAGAAGTGAATATGGTATAATCATCGAAGTCAAGCAACAAAGAGCGCGGTTAGTACTTGAGTGGGTGACCGCTTTTGTCTACCGTTTGATGAAGTCGTTTATTTCCCTTATTTTTGCTTGTCTGCACTTGTTGCTAACTTCAGTGCACAGGTGAAAATCAACTGAAACTATGTGATTTTTCCGTAATTTTAAAGATCAATTTGTGGTCATGGGCCAAAAACACCTAAAAAAGACGTCTTAAAGACGTACATTCTTAAAGACGTACTTATGTCCCGACATGTACGTCTTAAAGACGCCTTCAAGACGTACTTTGGCTGATTGGGTTTGGAATTCCCAAGACAGTTTCAATATTGAAGGTTTGGAAGTTTCACACGTTTGTCAAAAAGCACGTTTATTAAATTTACTAGAGATCTTCGATATCAACTCCTCATTGAAGGATAATAATTCCTTTTCGGTTAATGAACAGGTAAACTTTGACTCCATACAATATTTCAATTCACTAAAATTTGTTGAGATTCAAATTCTTCCTTCTTCCTTGTTTTTCCATTGTTAATAACTTGTTTTTAACTCGACTCAAATTTTCTCATATGCAATTTTTCACTCAACTAGTTTTGATCTTATCCCATGTCTGTTTGAAAAATAGTTCGATTGCACCATTTCTCTAGTCATCTGTCTTGTTGACATCTTGTCATCCGGAAGTTTGACGTTTGCACTCAAGTCACACTCATGTGGGTTTTTCCAAAGAATACCTGTTTTTCATATTATAATTTTACCATGTTTACCATTCAATTTTAATAAAATTCAACAACTTCAAAGAACATTTTTCATCCTCATGTAAGTACCTTTATCTATATTAACATATTCCTGTTACAAGTTTAGACTATTGCAGGACGTTATAACACGTCCCCATTTGCAACATAACTTTGTTCACCTATTAAATGTCGTGGAGATGATTTTGAGATTTATTCTTCCTTTATATTATAGGAATTCCTTTTCGTGCGCTCCAAGCAGTAAAAAAGGGACGAACATTATATTTCGAGACTCCAGCCGAAGGGTACAAGGTCTCGTGGTGATAATATTCTTTACTACCAAGTTATTGGTACATTGAACTATTTTCACCACTAGCGATATATTTCAATCATCATCATAGTTCTCTGACAGGGTATGGACGACCTATCGCCACTATTAAAGCTGTTATTTTCTATTCCAATTGAAATCTAGTTTTCATGACCATGGATATGAGAAACTCGTTATTGATATATACCTACTAAATTCGAGTACCATTCCTGCGAATGTCGCATCAGAACAGTGAACTGCTTTATAAAGCACAGCTAATTCAAATGCAATAGTCTAAGCAATCAAATTCAGGAAGAAAAACTTGTTTTATCAAACGAAAATTATCTAGTTAGTCGAGGACTCGGCCTAATAATATCAGCTGTTGAGACGAGCAAATATCTACCGCGGTAGTCTCATTCATGTCATACCTAGTAGTATCATGTTTTGAATGTCTATGCATAATCTGAAAAAAATGATCTGTAATTAAATTGCTATATAGATGACAATGTGTCCACTCTAGCAATGACTCAATGGCTCATTCAATATATTCAATCATTCTTACCGCTGTTCCTGTGGGTACTACAATTCTTGGATCTATTGAATTTGTATTGGTGGTGGGACAAAGTGTTCCACTGGGTAAGCATAAATATGTGCGTCCGTCTGCTGTAACTCCAGATTGAGTTTGACCAATAACTCCATCTGAAAAAATATTACCTGTTATCCAAATTGAATGGCGTCCATTATTTCAATAGAACTACAAAACTCTCTCTACGTCAATTATACGAATGAATTGTTATGGCTCTACTAGTTGACCCGGCAAACGTTGTTTGGCCATAAACATTATCTAGAAAACATGTTTTCAGATGAATATTTATCAAAAAACTATAATCATTTGATTTCCACTCCTTTTAGTTTCGCTATCCATGATAGCGGGATTCTTCAGTTTTTCAAACTATTTTATTTATTGTCTACTTCTTTTTAGTTCGGCACTCTATATCTGTTCATTTTTTCAAACTACTCTTTATTTTCTACTCTCTTCTTCTCAGTTTGGCTATATATAAAAACGTGTTTCATTAGTTTTTCAAACTACTATTAATTTCAATATCTGATACTCGGCAAACTTTGTTTTGCTATATACATTCATTTCTAGAAAATATTTTTTGTTAAATATTCATCAACACACTTTTATTATCTTATTTTCTACTCCTTTTTAGTTTTGTCTATTTATAAAATCGTGTTCCATTAGTATTTGAAACTACTATTTTCATTTACTACTTCATTTTAGTTCGACAATCTATCTCGGTTTTCAAACTATACTATCAATTTTCTACTTCTTTTCAGTTTGGCCCCGAGATTGGCTATCCATAAAAGCGCGTTCTGTTATAGTTATTCAAACTACTATTTATTGCAAAGCTCTTTCGCCATATTGTATCCGCCATCTTGAATTTCTCAATTTCGATTAATAAAATCATAATCTCCGAAGCCGAAAACCCCCA